CAACAGAAAATCCTTATCCTTCAGCAGATAAATAATTAAAGCAACTAAGCATATGCGGGACCTTTTACAAGAAATCTTTGCGATTTTACACCCAACTATTCTTTTTTTATTTTGTAAAATATATCTATTAGATAATTAAAATTTTATATCAAAGAATTCATTAATAAAGTAAATAAGAAATAAATATCCCAAATAGGAATGTTCTGATATGTATTATGCTCAATTCTTATTTCTTTATTCAAGTTGGGATAATTTGAGTTACAACCCAGACATATGACAATCACATAAACTAAACTCTTAGGAACCCAGATTATTTGTTTCAAAATGTTGTTACAACAATATCCTAAATTTAAATAAATATAAATTAGGTATAATTTTAGAAAATGATAATAAAGTTTCTGGAAGAACTGATCAAAGAATAAATTACAATCTCATGGCACAAAGAATTTTAGAAGAAAAATTTTAAAAAAATTATTTTTCGATCCTATTAGGTACCTACTTAGCATTTTTATAAAACTTGTTTAAAATTTTATATTGATCAATAAATTAATCAAATGTCTTACAATTAAAATAATTTTAATATTCTTGACTTTTCAATGAGATGCTATAATTTAGATGGTTACATATTTATGATTTATTATGAAGTAAATTTATTTGGGTAGATATTTCATGTTACAAGGCATAGATATTAAAAGTCGTAATTTACGAAGATTAATTAGAATCATGGTCATAACACAATCCCCGAATTGATTTAAGCTTGAATTGATACGTTATAGATAGCACATGCATTACATAGATGATTTGTTGGAAAGTAGTATACTTTCCTGTTATCCCTTGTAGAATAACAAAATAAAAGTGATTCAAATTAAAGACCACTTTATTCAAGAATTTAAAATCTTTACAATTTGAAATGTCTAGCATTGACCTGTTAAAAAAAGAGCTAAGGAGAGAGTTTCCTAATATTGACAAGGATTTACAAAATTATGTTGAAGGTAAATTTACAGATAAGTTTAAGTAAAAGTAAACAATTGTAATGCATGCTTTCAGGAGTTCTCGAATCAAGTGTAGAAGATTTTGAATCCAGTGAGGAAATTTATGAAGCAATAGGAGAGATTTTACAAGAAGTATCAAGTGAAAAATCTGTTGACGACATCCGCTTGATTTGTGATAAGCTTCATCTTATCATAAAGCCTGAAAATGAGAAATCAAACGATAAAACAAATAAAATTCTGAAGTCGCCAATTTTTCTGGGTCAGAAAGTAACAACCTTAGAAAATGATTTTGGAAATATGAAGAGTCTATGGCTGCAACAGAAAAACGATTCCTTGGTAAGTTCTCGTTTTGTACCTCAATATTTAATCTACTTCAAAATGTTAAAAAATAGTATTATAAAATATCAACTAAGAAAGAATTTAATTTTAATTATGAAAATCATTAACTATAAATATAAACTATTGTTTTTAGAAAGTTGATAAAGTTAAATTGGAAAAAGCTGAGGCAAAGCTTCAACAAAAACAAGGGAAAAGAGATGGAAACAAACCTTCGGCTCCAACAGTGCCGATAATGCAAACTGCATCAGCTTCTCAGGTTTTAAGTAAGAAGGATTCTAAGATAGAAGCAAAAGGACAAAACAGATCTATGGATATCAGAATAGAAAGTTTTGATATAGCATTTGGTGACCGTGTACTTTTGAGTGGTGCTGATTTATTATTAGCCAGCGGAAGACGTTATGGACTTGTTGGACGAAACGGATTGGGTAAAACGACTCTTCTAAAATTGCTTAGTTCGAGACAGTTACAATTGCCTTCTCATATAAGCATTTTACATGTGGAACAAGAGGTTGTAGGAGATGAAACTCTTGCAATCGATTCGGTTCTCGAATGTGATGAAAAACTTATGGAACTTTGGCGGAAAGAAAAAGAGCTATCTAAAGATCCTCATAAGAGTTCTGAACTTACTGAAGTCTATCAGCAACTTCAATTGATGGAAGCTGATAAAGCTCCTGCTCATGCGTCAATAATTTTAAATGGCTTAGGATTCAGCAAAGAAATGCAAACTTCAGCTACAAAAACTTTCAGTGGAGGTTGGAGAATGCGTTTAGCCCTGGCTCGCGCTCTTTTTTCTCGTCCTGACCTTCTTCTGCTGGATGAACCTACTAATCAATTAGATATAAAAGCGATTATTTGGTTGGAAAAATATTTACAACGATGGCCAACAACATTATTAGTTGTATCGCACGATCGAAACTTCCTTGATTCGGTCCCAACAGACATTCTTTACCTCCACTCACAGAGAATTGATGCTTATAGGGGAAATTATGAGAATTTTGAGCGAACTAGAACTGAAAGACTCAAAGCACAACGAAGAGAATGGGAAGCTCAAATGGCTCACCGTGCTCATGTTCAAGAATTTATTGATCGTTTCAGATATAATGCAAATAGAGCAGCAAGTGTCCAATCAAAAATTAAAATGCTGGAAAAATTGTAAGTTTGATTTTTGGTCATATGAGAAACAAGATTCTATAAATTTATTCTTTTGTTTTTAGACCTGAACTTAAGCCAGTTGAAAAGGAAAACGAAGTGATTTTGAAATTTCCAGATGTTGATTATTTAAGTCCTCCTGTCCTCACATTAGATGAAGTTAGTTTTCGTTATCCAAACACAAATCAGGATATATTTAGTAAAGTAAATTTGGGGGCCAATTCAGAATCAAGAATTGTTATTGTTGGAGAAAATGGCGCAGGAAAATCAACACTACTGAAAATTATATTGGGAGCTTTATCACCTACAAGTGGCCTCATTCATCATCATCGTGGTCTCAAATTTGGCTATTTCTCGCAACATCATGTTGATCAATTAGAGATGGATGTATCAAGTGTTCAACTTCTTCAGAAAGAGTTTCCTGGAAAGTCAATAGAAGAGTATCGAAGACAATTGGGAAGCTTCGGTGTTGGAGGAGAACTTGCTACTCAAATTGTTGCCAGTTTAAGTGGAGGTCAAAAGTCTCGTGTTGCTTTTGCTAAAATGTGCATGGGTTAGTATTTATCGAACAACTCTGCGTTTTAATCTTATTAGATAAAATTAATAGCAACGAAATTTTTTTCCTTCTGTAAATATTTTTTTTAATATCTAACTTAAATTCCTAATCATTTATTATCTTTTGCATTTTAAAGCTCAACCTAATTTTCTTATTTTGGATGAACCGAATAATCACGTAAGTTCAATTCAATTAAGTAGCAAAATCTATGAAATATTAATGTATCTTCCAATCACTTTAGTTGGACATTGAATCAATTGAAGCTCTTGGGACAGCAATTAAAAAATTTACTGGAGGCGTAATTTTGGTATCTCACGATGAACGATTAATACGAATGGTGGTAAAAGATCTTTGGGTTTGTTCACAAGGAAGTGTGAGATCTGTTGAAGGTGGATTTGACGAATACAGAAAATGTGTTGAAGCTGAACTGGACGCAGTCAGCAAATAATTTATTTTATTTGTAAACGTTTTTTTTTTGTTAATGTAGCCACTTATTCGCAAAAAGAAATAAAATAAAAAAACAGCAACTTTTTCAAATGTTATCTTTCATTTTATGTACACAAAGAAATGTTAGAATAAGTTATAATTAAAAACAATTTTCATAAACGTTGTTTTGATGCTCTAGATCTTTGATTTCCATGATATCTGTTTTGAGTCTTTGCTTGAGGATTTCTTTTAAAATTGCATCTCGATCAATACTATTTATAATCCCCATCCTTTTTAAACTGTTGTCATTCAGACGTAGCAATGTCTTTCCTGTTATATCGTGCTGAAAATAAAAGAAAAAATTACTATAAAATAGTAAATAAAAAAGGATACGAACTTACTTGTTGGAATAAATGAGAATATTTGGAATATTCACTGCAATGTCTGTTGAACCATTTAATAATATCTACTTTAGACCAATAATATACAGCTTTTGGTCTTGTCGCTTTAATTTTCTTTATTGTTTCTTTTTCTTCAACCATTTGGTATATTTTATGCTCGTACAAACTTTGTTTATAATTTTGATGAGATGTGTAAATAAAAACCGATTTGAACCGTTCCGATTTATATTTGTATGCCCTTGAACCGGTTCAACCTTCGGTATAATCTTTTGTACACCTCATATCTTCAAAATAAATTTGCCACGAATTGCGAGGAAAAAAGTTTTTAAATCGTCTACATTTGGTTGAAATTTGAAATAAACGAGGAATAAGAAGTTTAATTAATAATCTTGTAGCCATGCACACTGTATTAACTCGAGGTAATGCCATATTGGCATATACTCTTAGTGTATTAGCATGTTTAACGTTTTGCTGTTTTATTTCTACGGTAAATATAATCAATGCTTATTTGAAAAATATTTATTTGAATTTATAAAGTATATTCTTTTAGGTATTTCTTGATTATCGCACTAATGTGAAAATCAATACTGTGAAAACTTTGGTTAAAAATGTTCCCAATTATGGTGCAAGTAAAGAACTCCATGATCTCGGATTCATAACATTTGATTTGCAGACAGATTTAAGCGGCATGTTCAATTGGAATGTTAAACAACTTTTTCTCTATCTAACTGCTGAGTACAAAACAGAAGCAAATCAACTGAATCAAGTTGTGTTATGGGATAAAATAATTCTACGAGGAGAAAATGCTATATTAGACTTCAAAAATATGAATACAAAATATTATTTTTGGGATGATGGAAATGGTCTAAGAGCTCACAAAAATGTCACACTTACTTTATCTTGGAATATTATTCCAAATGCAGGCTTACTGCCAACATTATTCGGAATTGGTCAGCATTCTTTCAAATTTCCTGAACAATATACAGTGAACCCTGTTTAAATGTAGGCACAACTAATGAAACTCCATAATAAAAAAAAAAAAATTTCATATTTTGAACCGACTGCTTTAATACGAATGTTATCCAAAAAATGTTTATGAAATGAAATAACATATACCTAGTTCTCAAATAATTTTCAAATTTTAGGTTTGTGTTGATATTTCTTTTTTTTCTTTCTCCAACAATAAAGAATTCATCGACCTAGTTATACCAAGGAGTTTTCGAAGACCTCTGTTTTCAGTTTGAAGCTGCGATAAATGCTCAAGATATTGATCTGAATCGCTATCTCCTAATTGCATTGCACTTTGGATAACTATTACTGCTTCTTGAAGTTTCTTAGCTTGACAACTGATGATACTTGTGCACTAAAAGTTTTTCGAATTGTAATAAAGTCTTAAAATTCATGAGTTTTTACTTACATTTTTGTTTTCGTTGGTAGAAATTAATTTTTCAAAGTCAAGATGAGTCTCTTTAATCTGTTGCTGTGTATGTTGCCGATATTTAGTCATGATTAATTCAATTGCTCTCTGGTGTTCTTCAATGGAAGCTTTGAGTTGACGATTTTCTTGTTGAATTTCTCGTATTTGTGGATTTTCTTGGTGAATCGTTTGAATCATGTCTTTATTGCTACGGTCTCTTGCAAACAAATTAAGTGCATTTAGATCGTCTTGAAATTGACGCATTGTATCTAGTTCAAGACTGAGCAAATAGACATACATATAGTTATTATTTTTGACATAAAGTCTTTATGACACCTAGATACTCACTTTACTTTTTCTGTGTCACACAAAAGAATATCAGCGAGAGACTCCTTCTCTTTTAATCGATTTGCTAGACGTTTCGCATCTAGTATCATTTGTTCAATAGGAATTGACATGATGTTAAAATTAACTCAGACAGAACTCTGTTGGTATAATTTTATTTGGAATAGCTTTTTGCTGATAAATTGAAATTTCGTATGAAAACGAAAAATAAAGATGAATATGTTCAGAAAATTTCTTTCAATTTCGAAATAATTTTTTTTCGAAAACGAACATCAACAAACACCCAACTCGGAGTTGATTTTCTCTGTTTCCACTAATCTTGTATAAATTATAAGGACTCCTTAAAGTAGAGTCCTGGAGAAACCTAATGGATTCTCCAACACTTGTCTGTAATGTCGTGAAAAGATTTCACCATGGAAAAACAAATTTTGTAGATTGTCTTATCCGTTAAACTCGAACTCAAGTTTGTAACATGGAAGAGCGTAACTTGCGTTACTCTGACGCTTTTTATTGAACAAAAGAGAGGTGTGAGCATCAAATCGACTCCAATTAACTTTATGACTACAAAACAATTTCATTTTTTTAACAGTCTTTATGAATTATCAACTTTTCCTGACTCGAGAAAAAAATATGAATTCCACCTCAGCTACTTTTCCTATATAGATTTCAACCTCACATATTAAGAATCTCAAACGAACCTATATTAATTTACCTAAGTAGTTTATTCTTTCATATTTTGTTTCATTCAAATTTTATTCATATTTAAGGTATTTAATGTCGTAGATAAAATGTTTTTGAAAAAATATTATTCTGATAATAGATAGGTAATAGATAGATAATAGATTTAATATTGGTAGTAATATTATGTTATGTGAAATGATATGCTCATGTTTTTAAACTACTTCCTGTGTTTCCTTATTTTCACTTTTCTGACGAACTTTTGCTAAAATTGCCAAAAGCTCGGATGATCTCGCCGTTTTATACTAAAATGAAAAAAAAATCTAATTAGATAGATACCTAGGTACATAAAATTAAATTCAATAATGTTCATATTTAAATGCCATATAAATGTTATGTAGGTATATCTGCATATTTAGAGGCTTTTCACACTTGAAATTTTTATCAATGAATTTTTTTAGCAATCAGATTGGATTGGGTAATTATAGTTGATAACAATCTACGAGATTTGTCATAACCGCATGTTGTTCAACAACTCAATGCTTAGTGAATGCATAATTTTTCTTTATGAACTGGGTGATTCAAGACGAAAACATAATAATTTAGTCTATATGTAGTCAACAACATCCGTTGAAGATGAAATTGAATGTTGCCATAAACTTGTGGAAACGAATGCAATGTTTGACTACAACGGATGAAGATTTTCGATTCTTATTCAAAAGGTTATTGTTTGAAAACAATTTTCCAAAACCGTTGACAAATCGCATCATCAACAACAATAATAACACACAAATACACAATAATCCACCCACAGTTGATGTTGTTTTTCGTCCTATGGTGTACATTGAAGGTTTATCAAATCGAATCAAGAAAATCATCAATAAGAAAATTCCTAATGTAAAATTTGGTTTCAAGCCTCAAAATAGAGTGAAACAGTTTTTTACAAACTTGAAAGATAAGATTGCGAAGAAAGAAAAGAGGAATTTGATTTACCAAATTGATTGCCAATGCAACAAGTCATATGTGGGTCAAACTACACAAATGTTGCACAAAAGAGTTTCTAGACACAAGACTGATTACAACACTCTGAACAGACTCTTGAATACTGGCACAAGAAATGAGACGAACATCAAAGAAGCGACCAGCAAATCAGCTTTAGTTGAACATGTAGCAAATACGGGACATATTTTTGATTTTGAGAATGTTAAAATTCTCGATCAAACCAACAATAGAGCGCAACTGAATGTCCTGGAAATGTTACATATAATCAACAATGATACGGTCAATCGGAGAACTGACACATTAGGATTGAGTCACATATACAACGGACTATTACAGATAAGAAAGAAAAAGAGAAAGTGAGAACGTGAAAGTTTTCCTACATTTGTGTGCTTATCATCATCAGTTTTTAATTTGTTGTCGATGTTAAAGGATGTCAGTTGTTTTTCATTTTAATTTTTGACTATTTTTAATGTTCTTTGACAAAGTTTTTTAATTTGTTCTTGTAAGTTTTTATTANATTATAGTTGATAACAATCTACGAGATTTGTCATAACCGCATGTTGTTCAACAACTCAATGCTTAGTGAATGCATAATTTTTCTTTATGAACTTGGTGATTCAAGACGAAAACCTAATAATTTTGTCTATATGTAGTTAGTGTTTTTCATAATTTCTTAGTTAATAACTTTTAGAAAGTTTTCATATAGTGGAAAATTTGAACAATTATTGCCACATTTTATCAATTAACTTCATGAAAACCTGGTGTAAGGTGACCAAATAGAATATTTGTAATTTATTAATATAACAAACGTATGCAACTTCAAGTAAATTGCTAAATTCAAATCATTTTCTTTGTAAACTTACCCCAGACACGTTTCTTTGAATGGTAATTTGTGATGCTAGTCGTTTTCCCTCTTCGATTCCACAATATTCTTCCAATGTTTGCCGATTTAGAGCAAACAAGTCATTCCCGGTTAAACCATTTAATCTCTTTACTGTATTTTCACTGAATCCTTTTGCCTTGAGCCAATTTTCAACTTCTTGTGGGTTAGACGTTTGCTGAATGTAAATTTCTGGTGTTTTCATTATATCTAAGTTATGACGTCTCTCCCGAAAAAGAGTTAAAACATTCTTTAACTCTTCGTGCATATTATCAACATGATTATTATCTTGTGCCGAAGTTTGACGAGATGAAACGTAATTGGTCCTTTTTTGCGCGAAATTTTCTGACTGAGTTTGAGGCGGCAATGGTGGCTAAGAAAAAACAGATTACATATTGAAATAATTAATTAATTAA